CAGTCGGGTGAAGTTGCTCGCTCAGATGATGGAGAGAGTAGTGTCTCAGCCTCTGAGGATGCTGTTACTGAGGCTACTGGGGCTTCTAGTGCTGTTGTCAAAGAATCTGAGATTGAAGAAGAAAGGGAAGTTGGTGTTGAGATGAGTTGATTTTGGTTTCATTTTGAGGGTAGAGATGACGTGATTGTGATAATAAAGCTTTTGAGGATATATACTTCAAATATAAGTCTTGTTATACAGTTGAAATATTATAAGTCTTGTTATACAGTTGAAATATTATAAGTCTTGTTATACAGTTGAAAACATATGTGAATTACAAGACAAAACTAAGTACCAGTGTTCTGTTGCTGTCAGCATTGAGCTGTATGCTTGGTGGGTTGCGTTTTTGGGTTCATTGCACATAGACCCCTGTAATATCGTTAATTAGAACTTACTACCCTTGTAGTATCGCAGAGGTACCCAATGCTTTTTTTTTTGACTCTTTTATCCCAGGTGTTAAAAGAAAGGCCTAAAATGAAACTGAGGGATAGTTAAAAATAGCGGTACTAAGGGGTCTATGCACAATTATCCCTGTATTTTCCATGCCATTTTTTTTTGACTCTTTTATCTCGGGTGAAATTTTGATAGATATTATCCTCGGGTGAAATTAGAGGATAAAAGATTAAAAAATTAAAATAAATTAAGTAAAAGAGAATTGGCCTAAAATGAAACTAAGGGATAGTAAGTTAAAAATTGAGGTACTAAGGGGTCTATGTACAATTATCCCTGTATTTTCCGTGCCATAGCTTAAACTACCCTGGTTTCTTCATTTCTATTTCGAGACTGAAGAGTTCTGCATAATTTGCCACCGAGGTTAGTATAAGTTGCGCCTCCAGTTCTTTATGAAACTAGCTTCAACAATATTTACATGAATCGAGGCTTCAGCAAAGCCTTAATCTCGTTCATATAATTGGACAAACATAAACACATTTTTTTAATCTTTCAATAGAATGATCTCGCAAACATTAGACACAAGCTTCAGATCATACACATGATCGACACAAGAAACCATAGAATTGAGAACAATCATATGGTACAGGCAGAATAGCAAATTGTTCTCTCCTGCCAGAATTAAAACAAATGGTAAATACATCAAAACTCTCTATGCCCTCTCGTGATGAAAACCAAAGTTGTCGAACAAACCGTTGGGATCCCTTCACAGTTTTTATATAACCAAGTATTACAAAAGGTGAGGGGGGAAGGCAAAAGTTCCTCAGCTCATTCCTCTTCAGTGCTTTCTCTGCAGAAGGATTTACAGAATAGTACTATATCAGTGATAAAACCACAAAGCAAAAATTATTATCATAGACTAACAAAATTTCAAGTAGTTCACTAATACTATGGTCAAAGCAGTAATTCAGCATTAGTATCTGAAACGCATACAAATATAAATGCAAAATATTCAAAACTGAATAAAATAACTGCATATTTTATTTAAATACAACGGTTGAAGGGTATCCTCATACCTGTTCCCTCCTAAGACTTGAGCAGATAATTGAGATATTAGCTACCATTCAGGACGAGGGTTAAGATTTCAAATACAATTCATCTTCAACTTAGCTAACTCCCATTTATTGTCAATCTAATCTAAACCCCATATCCAATTCTAAGTACAATCTTGATCGAATCAAGTTTAACAACAAAGTATTTGTCTCAAAATTTTATTGATTGGTCCCAAAAATTTGGTATCTGTCTCTAACAAACTGAAATAACCAAACAAACCCAAGAAATAGAATAAAGACAGTACCTGTTAGTGGTGAATCCAAAGTGGGCTATTCTTAATTAATAGAAGTTTAGATTATGTGGCAATTCAGTAGTGTTTATGCACCCAACACATATGAAAAGATCTCATATTCAGTACCTATTTTCAATGGACATGATGTCTAAAGATTTCACACAAAGAAATTATCAATGAATGA